GTAAAAACAAAAGCACAAACTATTATATTAGCCTGCATTTGATTACTCCATTATAATGTCACTTCATAAAAATACTTTAAAACTTGTAGGTTTAAAATCCCGCATATGGGTTATTTATTGGTCTCCAACAACCAATATTCAGAAAATCTACCAAAATTCGAATTATTGGCGCTGGCTATTCTATTGTGCTCGTCTGATTGGCGGACGCTTGAACATTTAGCGGAGATTTTCTTGCAGAAGTGTCCTGACACTGACGTGTGTGTGGAGTGTTCTAACACCGCAGATGGAGAACACACCCCTGAACTCGAGAACAACACAATGACAAATTATCGTGTTAGAGTCCGACACACTGAGAGCCATCACATCTATGTGAGGAGAACGAACACATTTACATCTGAACACACATTTACGATAAACCGCAGGTGTGATGCTTGCTACAGTCATCGCTCTCGGCCTGAACGGACCTTCAGTCTTTACAAGCCACTCTCTTCAATAACTGTAATGTTGCAAACCTGGAAAGCAGTGTGTGTAAAGCAGTGTGTGTAAAGCGGTGCGTGTAAAGCGGTGCGTGTAAAGCGGTGCGTGTAAAGCAGTGTGTATAAAGCAGTGTGTATAAAGCAGTGTGTGTAAAGCAGTGCGTGTAAAGCAGTGTGTGTAAAGCAGTGCGTGTGTAAAGCGATGCGTGTAAAGTGGTCCTGCTCCTGTAGAGCGACTCAGAGAAGGCCACTCACCTTTCCTCCGCGCCGCGCTCGGGTGTTCCCGGCCTTCACCACCTTTGTGGGACCAGAATGCTCTAGAGGAGCAAAACAAGAGCATGACAATTAAAAACAGGTCAAATAAACTTAATTTGAAGTATTTATGTAAACCTCGTTATTCTAATCACACTAGCAGAATTTCAGACAAGCAGAGATTTAGTGCCAGCATTCAAAGCTATTCTCATGGCAAATAACACGTAAATACAATAAAAACACAAACATCAAGTCCAAGTCACATTATACAAGAGTTTTTTAATTACCATACGATAAAAAAAAAAAACATTTCAGGGCTAATTTTGCTCGAGTCTTTAAGTGAGGTAACTTCATAAAGAGTTTCACACATGCTCCAGGACGAGCAAGGTGACACACACACACACACACATCTAACAGGTTTAGAAGAACGCCTGGTGCAAACACACACACACACACGAGAAGCTGTGCTCAGGTCAGAGAAGCTCCTGTGATTCAAACGCTACATTAAATGTGTTTATAACGTCTGCCATGTGATCCGGGTCAACTCAGGCTTTCAGCAGATGATTTACTCTCTGATGAAAACATACAATAACATATTTCATCCAAATGATGCGCCTTTCTGTTGAGTCACACACAGGAGTGTGTGTGCAGACACTGCAGCATCTCCAGTTAGAACACGAGTGCCGAGCAAAACTGTCTGAAACATGGGGAAATTATTACAGTGTTTAGAACAGCACATTTTAACAATATCGTAATAATCATGATCTATACACATTTATCATTGCATCCAGTCTACAATGCAAAGTAATGTTTTCCATAAAGAACTGTATTCTCTGATTCAGTTTACATTATTAAAGTATTGTATAACGTTTTTAAAAAGTAGCCCATCTCTCTATGACACAAGGTCAGAGACCTGAAACCAGCTTGAATATATAAATGAAGTTCCGTCTGGGATTATGACATTCAGAGAGTGGATACTATTATCATAAATACTCGTATAATATTTGGCCAAGAATGTTCATTTGGGTCATAACAAGCTGTTTGTGTGAACCGGATTACTGGTAACTTGCTTTGTGTGATTTGAGTCTGTTCCAGCTGTAAGAGTGTCAGCAGACACACACACACACACACACACACGTGTGGTCTGAACTCAGTCCTCTCAGAGATCGGTCTGTTGCTACAGTTTCCCATTCATTGCCTAAAGTCTGGAAGTCCATCAGTTTCATAATGCACACGTCACTGAACAACACAAGGTCTTTAGCTTTGAGTTCTGGACATTATGCTTGCTGATGTCCTGGAGTGTGTGTGACCCCTGCTGGCTTCATGTTAAAGCACACAGTTTCCAACCAAGAATACTTACAAGAGAGTAGGGTTGGGGATCGAAAATGTATTACAATTCTGTAATCGAATACTTGTTATAAAATAAACATTTCGATTCCTCTGATCATTTTAACTAACGTTAACCCATTAAAGTGCAGGACAACTCGTGTTCTCTGTCCTCGTGTGTGTATCAGTGTATCGGACCCGTGCGGCTCTTAAAGGAACAGCGCACATATTCCTATAATAACACTATTCACACACAACAGAAGACAGAACACACACTCGTTCTTCACTGAATAACTTTTGCAACTTAATTTTGTAATCTATACTATGTTTATAAAGTGTTATTTTACATTTTATTACAGTTTCTTCCTGAACACCTGAAAACACTGTTTATTTCAATCATATCTTTGTTCAGTTGCGTCTGTTGCAATAATAATGATGAAATGTTTATTAGTCAGGCTAGTTGTTTTCGTACAGGCATATGTTCTCTGTGTAAGTGTTCTTTAGCCTGTTGATTTTTGTTCATGATATTTAGATATGTAAGGTTGTTTTTTTTATACCTTATTGGACCCGAAATGAGGAATCGATACGAATGGGAATCGATGAGCAGATTCAAGCGATCCCCAACCGTAGCAAACACACACCAGCGCGTGAGAAAAGATCCAGTCTCTGCTTTAATATAACATTCTGATGCCGTTTACGGTCTTCGTCGGGGACTATTTTCTAGCAGAAGAATGGCATAGGGGTGTAACAATATCACAATACAAAAATGCAACAATGTGTATCATAGACAGTTCACCCAAAACAAAAGTCTTCAGAGTTTTAGTGTCAGTACTACTATATATAATGCATAATAACGCATTAGTATAATAGTGTAAAAAGTGGGCTACGTTATTTTAAATACATCTAGTCAGTGACAGAGAGCAAGAATATTGGTCTAAAATAATTCAGTATTTTCAGCTTCAGAATCATGAATACTGTTATTCTGGTGTCTTTGGGTGTCACCACCAAGACCAAGAATATTCCTTTACACACACACACAATGCAACACCAAATTTACCATATTAATCTAAAGTTCATTTTTTGTTAACCTTTTACCACATGTCTTGCAGTATTGCAGTAATATCGTATCGTGAGTTCAGTATCGTGATATGTATCGAATCGTGAGTTCGTGACATGAGGGGATCGCTACACCCCTGATAGATTTTATATGTGTGTATATATATATATGAAGAGTTCAGATGCAAAAGCCTCTAAATGCCATTTGAAATTTTCATCTTTAATGATGATTTTTTATCAAACTTGTACATTTAAGTTCAGTAATTTCACTTAAATAACAATTAATAGGTAATTATCATTGCCATTTAAGTGAAATCACTAAACTTAAATATACAAGCTTGATAAAAATAATCATTCTAGAAGAAATTTTCAAATGGCACTTAGAGGCTTTTGGATCTGAACTCTTCATATATATATATATATATATATATATATATATATATATATACACACACAATTCAATTCCTGCATATTGACTCCATCGCCTGAGTCTCCGGGCTCTCAGTGGCTCTTCTCTAAACGGAACACAGTAGTAGTCAACTGTCATGACGTCACTCAACGCATTCTGAGTCTAAAGCAACATTGATCAGTCGGCCTTCGCTAATTACCCATCCGCATTAGCTCGTGAAGCCCATACACACACACACACACACACAAACTGCGAGCCGGAGCAGTGACTCGCTTCTGTCCGCATGTGATCACATGGCATAAACCACGTTGCCTTCATCCAGGGGAACTCTGGGATTGATAGCAGCTCCACGAGCCCTTAGTTACAGCATTTCTGCAGATGAAATGAAGCAGTGCGACGATGCCATGCGTGCGATCCCGTCCATGAGTCGATCGAGCACACGAATATTAATAAAAGAGGAGTGATCGGAAGCTAACTGCTAACGGCTAACAGAAGGGCTGGTGCGCGCACGTGCATTAAACACCACGAGAGAGACAAGCTGTCACGAGCGCCCTTTAAAAAATACACCATTTGACCAGATATGCGCTTAAAAACGCTTTTACGTGAATCCGAACGAGTTCGTGACAAACACGTGGATCTCACACGTGTCGTGCCATAACATAAAGCGGATAATCACACGTCCAGCGATCGCTGCATAACACTGTAAACAAAGGCATCTCATCTAGTCTGACAACATCACGTAACACGATAGCAAATAAATAATCGTGATTTCATTCGCAGCTGATGTACAGTAAAGCGGCACCGGCCCCGGCCTGTCAGACGAGCTCGATCCCCATAGGCCGCTAATGCTAATGCTAACCCGATAGCCATTTGTTCAGAAAAGCGATGAAGGTGAACAACAAGAAGACATTTAGCGTCTCATCTGCGACTATAATTCACACAATTATGGTTTGCTTGGCATTATATCACTGCACTCATGTACGAGTTGATTCTGTGAGTCCCGAAAGAGATTCGAGGCCTAGAAGTGCCAACAATCTGCTGTCATGTGTGTGAGAAACGCGATAAACATCATTTGACATCCCAGCGGACAAAAACACCTTCTCATCCACTAATACACGCGTTATTACTGAGTGTTTTGAGGGAACGTTCTATTGAGGGAACGTTACAGTTGCACGTTCTGAAGCCAGTGGCAACATTTAAAAAAGCCGTTAGATAATATTCCTACTGAAACGTTATTAACGGCCACATGAGGTTGTTTAAAATGCTAACGTTTCGAGCCAGACCGTTAACGTTATTACTTAACATGTTCCCTCATAGATGTGCCTCACGATGATGAACTCACTCGTTGCCAACGGTTTGTTGTGTTAAAACACACACACACACACACACACACACACAGGTAACGTTACAGACCGTGCAGCGCTTGTCCGTTGACGCCGCTCATCTTCTTCGTCCACGGGTTCACCTTGGGCGGCGGAGCCTCGGTGAACTCCGTCTTACACGCGTCGTCTTCGCTCTCCTGCTCCAGGTTCTCCTTCGCCTGGCTGTTGCTCTCGTCCTTCGCCCGTTTCAGGCTCTGCTCCTTCCCCACAAACCCTCCGTCTTCGCCGGCCTGGTGCTCGAGCTCCTCCGGCTTGAGCAGCGAGTTGCTCGGCAAGAGAGTCTCCACCTCAGTGGCCATTTCTCCTCTAACAAACACCCCTCAAATCCACCGCAATGATCAGCGAACGACGTGTGTGCTTCCAGCGGGAGCCTCTCGCACTCTCCACTCCACCCCTAGACCAAACAGGCTTCAGTCTAAGACGCAGAGTGGCTAATCTCAATTAAAACATGTAAAAAGAACCCCTGGAACCTTTAAAACGACGGACTAGTCTTCCCTACTTACGGCAATGTGAAAGAACCACGCGTTGTACGTGAGCGCGCACGTACGCACGCGTAGCGGGGCGTGGCAACGCTAGGCCGCGACACCACGTGACTGTCCTGCATTTAAAAGAAGAGAAGAATTAAATTGTAATTTGAAGTTTTTTTTTATTTGGCATATTTAAAATAAAATAAAAATAAAAATAAACTCGTTCCTCTTATATGTTTAATTTAAAAAAAAAAAGTTCTGAAAACATTTTTACACAATAAGGTGACAGTTATCTGATCTGATAGTATTTGGGTATTGTTCATGTTATTTGGTACTGTGTATCCATCTTGACAATCACGTTCCTTTAGATAAAAAACAACAACACTGATAATAATGATAATACCGCCCAATTATGATCACAATGATTTTATTTGACCTTAAAGTACCCATTACATCAAAATTAACCATTATTTTTTTATGTTCTATAATCCGTACTGCATCCGCCATGTTTCATCAGTTGTGTCTCTTCACTGGCATTCACAACTTCTCATTGGATACTGTAGGCCACTGTTTTATGAATAGACATACTATTCTTTTTATTTACATAATATGTATATAGTGTGGAAGTATGTGATGTTGGATGCAGCCTTCTCTGATGGCAAGGGTGAGGCTATAACCTGTCACTCACATGAGATCAGCCAATAGCAAACCACAACTATCCAATCAATTCCCCAAAGAAACAATCAAGCCACGCCCACATGTGTTCTTGCTCCAGAAGCGTTTCACTCGATATACGACACAATAGAGGAGAAAAGACCAGTGCCTCAGATACTCTACTGAAAACTAAAAAGTTTGGTTTTGTTTAGTTCTTCATCATCATGAAAGTGTATTATCTGCAGTTGTGGGTGTGGCCTATGCTAATAGGGTGGAGTCCGTCAGCAGTTGTAGGTGGGCCTATGCTAATAGGGTGGAGCCTGTCAACAGTCGTGGATGTGGCCTATGCTATTAGGGTGGAGTCCATCAGCAGTTGTGGGTGTGGCCTATGCCAATAGGGTGGAGTGCGTCAGCAGTTGTGGGCGGTGCCCTATGCTATTAGGGAGGAGTCTGTCAGCAGTTGTGGGTGTGGCCTATACTAATAGGGTGGGGTCTGTCAGCAGTTGTGGGTGGGGCCTATGCTAATAGGGTGAAGTCAGTCAGCAGTTGTGGGTGTGGCCACAAAAGCTACAATCTGCAAATGGCTTGTTCTCACACTGCTTATGATTAATGATGATTAAAAAAAGAGGAGTGGATAGATTTTTACCTTCATTTGGTGGTTGTGTACACACATTGCCAACACACATTTATGTTCAAACACCACTTCAAAGTGAATTTTGAATAATAGGTCCCATTTAAGGAATATATGTGAACGCATGAGACTAGAAACACAAGCTCATGCAAAGCCCTTTTCCAGCAAAACTGATGAAAGGTGCGCTCGCTCACACTAAACTTTATTATTAAAATACATTCCGCAAATAACAAATCATAATATATCCAAAAAGTAAAATTATACAGCCTACATTAGAAATATAAGTGATCTAGCAAATGATATTCTGTGATGCAGTCTCAGTAGTAAAAAAAAAATGTCTGGAGCTTATATATACTGGAACATTTATTAAGAATGAATTATGGATCAAAAATATATTGTTGGCCAAGCCTGATAGCGGTAGGCGTATTAATGAGACTCTGATGACTCTCATCTGCGCTTCACCTCATTCTCTGAGCGCATGCATCAGTGCCACGTGAGCGTATTGTTCCTCTTCACAGAGTCATCAGCGGCGAAACGGCCCCTGGCTCCCAGCACAAAAGCTCAACTCAGCAGCTGGTCAGCAAATCACAGACCAAAGCTTTAAAACGTGGATTTGCTCAATAAGCAGTGCAGACCAAGGCCACTTCAAGTCCATGGCACTCACAAACATGACCAGCTCTGATAAACAAACCATAGCAAAAATATGTTCTAAGAACGGTTTGCAAAAAGTTATTCTGAATGTGAATGTATACAAAAAAAAGATCTTGGTTATATGAACATTAATGAAACATCCTTTGTATAATTCTTCAAACGTTATGGGAACATTAATTTCTAATGTTTTCTGAACGTTCTGAAACAAGGAGTAACATTTGAAAACATTTGAACAAATTAACGCTTTACTAACATGTCTCAGAATAAACACTTCATATACAATAAATAAAGTTTTTTAAGTTTTTGAGAAAGTTATTAAAGACCAGATAACTTTGAATGAATGTTGTACTAACGCTAATATGGTTCATAACTTTAAGATAAACTTGAGATTGTTCACTGTTAGTTAGTTAGTTAAGTTTTTTCACATTATTTTCTTTTCATTTTTGTTTTAACTATTATTTTCCCCTGCTGAATCTAAGACAGTTTAAATTGGTTATATTTTGTAATATGGGTTCCACAAGACTAAAAAGAAAACATGCAAATGTCCAGTTCTCTTGCAGTGATAATAATGTTAAATGTTACAAACTTAACCTTATTTCTACTCACAACATAACATTCTTTGAACATATTTGTGGTAAAAGTGTTGTGTTGCATTAACTACACAAACACCACAGTAAACTATGGTTAGCTACTTTGACCAAGTGTTGTGTTACTGTGCATTACACAAATACCAGTAAAATGCTTCTTTGCTAAATGGTAATGTTGTTACTGTGTTTTAACTACAAATAAATACCACAGTAAAACTTAAAAAATGTTTATGTGGTTAAAATGTGGTAGCTAACTGATGTGGCTTCTTTTACTGACAGGATCGAGCTACAGTTACTGTGGTAAAATCACATTATTATAAGCCCTTTCTCATGTGAGATGTTAGACTCGTCATATCCAAAGTTAATCATAAAGAAATTTCAGGTAAATCATCTAACACGGAAATGTTATTGATGAAGTCACAAGAATCTCTATGATAGTACAAGTGAACAAACGATTTAATAAATAAAAAAAATCAACAAAGTGGGATAAGAGAGAAAAAAGAGAACAGTTTTAGGCACAATTGGTTGCCCTGTGTGAAATACAGGCCTTATCGGATGCCGACAATAAGTCAAACTCTAATGATTTTATTGATTCTGAAGAAAAAAAGTGTATTATAATAATCAATTTAGTGAATAATTTACACTATTGATGGGAAATGTCAAGGTATCTTGTTAAACATATTGAAAATAAAAATCTATTTTATTCTGTTTATGTGAGCATTTTAAAAATAACATAAACTTTGTAATAGTGTTTTAAATGTGTTCACATATTCCTTATTGTTTAAAAACACAAGTAACTATGGTCAGTCAAGTATCCTAATATGTATTTTAACTTATTCTGTAAATGTGATCCATGTGCGTTTGGAACGAACCTGTTGAATTAATTCTAAAATTCACTCATACTCAGAAACTCACTTGCACGGTAATGCTGCGTGTAATCTACAGGAAGAGTCACCGAATGAATCAGTGAATGAATCTTCTTGGAGAACCGAATTGAACAAAATCTGTTAGTGTTATGGTTCTTCTTATTATGGTAATAGTTTAGTAATCGAGGAAATTCTCCCAATATTAGTCATGTCACGCACGGAACGACATGCCTTGGCTTACTTCAGTAGTTTGGAGTAGATTCTCAATTTTAAGGAATCGACACAAGTTTTGGGAATCGACACCTTTCTCCCCCTCCCCCTCCCTTCAGTTTTCTCCCGCGGTGACGAGACGTGACGTGTGATGTCCAGTTTTACGAGAGCCTGACAAGAAGTTAAATGGTACGTTTACACCTTATTTAACCATTTTTAATTATCATAGCATAACAGGATGAGTTATCCGAACCTGTTGATGAATACATTCTTTGTTTTGTTTTTGTTTTTTGCCAAATGTACATGTAATGGAAATCATCTAGCTCCACTCATTTGTTACTGGGGCGATAGAGCGCGTTCGTGACAACACAATACTAACATTACAGGAGACACTAACGTTACATTAGATCTGGCTTATGGCACTGTTATAGTAGGCTAGTCATCTAAAAACATAACAGAACACTTACCGCAGCCGCAGGGGATCCACCTTGCCCTGTCTGTGCTATCGATGGGTTGGCCCTTCAGCACACGTCTCATGGTCCGTGTGGCAAATTCCATTTTTTCAAAATAGTCGTCCTCAGTGAAATGTACTGAGCAAACACGATGGTCCTTTATGATCTCTTCAGGTGTGTTTGGATCTAAAGTGATATCCAGTGCAAGTAACTTAGCCATGCTAGCTGGAGCCATTTACATCCAGTCTTTGTGCTAAGCTAGGCTAGCGGTGGGTGCGTCAGACAGAGTTATAGCACACACGGAGATGAAAAAGGTATGTATGGACTTATCTAACTACGGTGGATACGTGAATAAGCTAAAGTCCCAAAAAGTAGGCGTGTTCCTTTTAAATTAAATTGTTCTAAAACTGATATTTTGTTAATTGACACTTCAATTAATGTTAACAAGTGTAACAACTTAAATCTTGCCATGGACAATAGCCCAATTTCTCCTTCTGTCCAGGTGTAGAATTTAGGTGTGATTTTTAATCTTCCAAAAAAAGTGTCTTCACAATATTGCCAATATTAAACCTTTTCTTTCAAGGCCCAATGCAAAACGGCTTATTCATGCCTTTATTACATTGAGGGTTGATTACTGTCATTTACTTTTTTCAGGGTCTAACATCAAATTCTACTGGCTTCCAGTGCACGTATTGGTTCTTATATGAATGGACTTAAAACTTATCTCTGGAGTACACACAGTATATTAGTGCCATCAAATCAATAAATCACATCTAACACAAATGTTTCAGATATATATATAAGAGTTCAGATGCAAAAGCCTCTAAATGCCATTTGAAATTTTATTCTTTAATGATTTTTTTTTATCAAACTTGTATATTTAAGTTCAGTAATTTCACTAATAGGTAATTATCGTTGCCATTTAAGTGAAAACACTGAACTTAAATATACAAGCTTGATAAAAATGACCATTCTAGAAGAAAATTTCAAATGGCACTTAGAGGCTTTTGCATCTGAACTCTTCATATA